AGCGCTGGAAAATAGCCTTATCTCCATTTTTGTATAATATCTCTTATTGTCCAGGAAAATGTAAGATTGGTCCAAATATATTTACTCCTATTTGTTGTGCGTCAATAATTTCAGAGTCACTGTATGATTTGCATGCTAAACTTTGCCATCCGAGAATTACTTGTTTCTATCATTTTATTTGGTCAAGTACCTTATTCAGTGAAAAATTTAAGGCAATTATGCAGAGATTGTAGAATATGTAACAAAATAAGACCGAAATACAATTGTCCAAAAGCTACACGGTTGATGAAGGCAACTAAGACTTTTAAAGGTATATCCATGAATTTAAAAGATTCATGACATTTTTCAACTTCTTAACGATACATGTTTACTGTTGTAGATGAATACTCACGTTTTCCTTTTACCTGTCAAAAAAATGATTTGACTACTCAGACTATAATTAACTGTTTAACTGATCTATTTTTCATATTTGGTATGCCCAGCAATGTTCATTCAGATTGTGGATCATTTTTAATTTTTCCTGAGTTAAAGCAGTGGCTCATATAGAGTATTAAGGCTTGCATGACAACACCTTATTACCCAACTGGAAATAGATAAGTAAAAAGATATAACGGAATTATATGAAATCAAGATTTCACACAATTGAATCTCACAATTAAATCTACCATTATCAATCTGGAAAAGAGTTTTATATATTTATAGGGTACCTCTATTTATTGTAGTCCCCAAATTGTCTTTTAAACTTTCAACAAAGATTATTACCAGGTTCTTCCATTCCTTCATGAATAAATAACCTAAGATCTGTATTTATGAAGAAAAATGTGCTTCTAAGTAATTTTGAAGATTCTGTAAAAGCGGTCTAGCACCTTGAAAGAAGCCCTCACTATGCATATGTGAGATAATGTTCAACAGTTTTTACTAAACAATTTATAAAGTCTTCTAAAAATTGTATTGCAAATAACAAATTATATAGCTTCCTCATAAATTAGGGGCTGAAATGCAAACAGCAATTGATAATCTAGAAACCACTCCTATCAATTCTTAAAGAACTTCTTTAACTAAAGAAACAAAAAGAATATTCGAATGCTTGATTATTGACTCTTATGCTGATTATTGAAACAAATGGATCTTTTACCTTGGAATTCATGATCTTTATGAATTCATAAAACCCCTGAATGCAGAGGCGATTTCACGGGTGGGTGGGGGTTTTAATACCTCCCCTCCCTTCCCCTCCCCTCTCATGTGTATATGTATATATATATATATATATATATATATATATATATAAATATATATATATATATAAATATATATATATATATATATATATATATATATATATATATATATATATATATATATATATATATATATATATATATATATATATATATATATATATATATATATATATATATATATATTATTTACAAATATATTCAACTTCACATTATATATACTATTGAGTTATGTATTATTTTTTTCTTTTTTATAATGAGTAATACAATGATAGCTTTTTTAAGCCAACATAGTATCTGGTCAATTATTACAGCTAACTTAAATAGATTTGATTTCGTTAAACAAAACAAATATTCAAAATATTATGCGTACTGCAATAGATTGACTATTTGCGAAATTAATATTTTTAAGAAGAAGATAAATACACACTATTTTCTAAATAAAAGTTAAGTAATTTGTCAATAATAAGCTTAAAATTTTATTTAGAAGCAATGAAATATTTGTGGAAATCAATCAAAAAAATTTAAAACAATACAAAGCTTTTTTTTGTTTTAACTTTTAAATAAATTTTATTTCTTACCAAATATATAAAAAAGTACTGAAACCAAAATTTCTGTATTGGTTCAAACTGAAATTTCCACCGAAACCGATACAGAAACAGAATTTTGGTCGATCACTAAAAGTTTATCTTCTTATCGAATCATTGCAGTAAACAAACTAATAAAGTTTTAATTTGGTTGAATGAAAAAAAAACTGCTCAATTTTCATTAACGAAATAAAAAAGATTATTTTAAGTAAAAGAAATTTGAGTTGCACTTATATGTTTCTTTTTTTTTTTTTTTTATCAATAATGTGGGCATTCATAAAGAACATATTTTTTTTTTTTTTTTTCCATTTGCATACACTCCCAAAAAGGCTGCAAGCAACCAGCAACCACTATTAGGTTGGGAGTTACTGGGAAAAAAAAGAACAGAGTTATAGAGCAAGGAAACGGTTAACAGAGTTGAAGGTTGTATGAGTCAGGAAAACATGAAGATGGGAGAGAGTTCCAAAGGATTGAAGTGCGGGGAAAAAAACTAGATGAATAAAAGATTTTAGAGCATGCAGGGACAGATACAGTAAACGAATGAGACTTTGAGCAGTGACCATGATAGTAAAACATACGTGGTAAAACAACTAAATTAGGTCTCATCCCTTCCCCCTTATATGCGTCTGTATGCTTTCAATGACCACACCTCCTTTTAATATTTTTCAAAATAATTTTTTTTTTAACAAGTTTAAAAACAATTCTATTATTTATCATAATGGGCTTAAATTATTTTGTTATAGAGAAAAAAAATAGAAAGTATTGATTTTCAAGAAAAACATATTAACCTAGCAATATTAATAGCTAAAGTAATAAATATTAAATAGCAATATTAATAAATATTAAATAGGTTTTTTTAATAAATGCAAAGTAAGGCTTTTTTAATTGTTTAGTTTTAAAAAGGAAATAGTTTCTTCAATTTTTTTCTTTTTTTTTCTTTTTTTACCTTTTTAAAATGTTTGCTATTTTAATAAACTCCAAAACGAAAGAATCTTTTTTAGGTTGCAAAAAGAATTTTACTATTTCTAGCAGCTAGCATTTTATCCGAGAAAACATTTTCATCTGCTGGTCGAGTTCTTGAAAAGAGGAAATCACATTTATTTTTAAACATTGACTTTTAATTTTCTAAATAAGAAATTTGAAAATATTAAACAATAAATTTTTCAATTATCAGTTAACATGGCCAAACCAAGGATATTAACTTAAATGATGAGACAAATTTATTAAAAAATAAATTCTTTGATATATTTTTCACTTTGTTAAAACGTTGGAAAACTAAAATCTTTGTCAAGTACTGTTATTTATGTTTTACATTATATTTTATTCATCTCATCTTTAATTTTAATTGCAATTTTTTCACCATTTTTGTTGCCTTTATTCAATTTTTTTTTTAAGAATAATCGAAAAGTAAACTGACGGTGTAAATAATGGTAAACAACTTTTAAGATATGTACAGAAATATTATAATGTATTAAAATTACCCTAGATTAATCATTACAGAAGTTTGCAGCAAAGAAATGTAAGAAGTTTTTAAAGAATATAGTTTTACAAGATTCTCGTGTTGAATTTTTATATGACAGTTGGAAAAAAAAGAATTTTGAATTTTTATATGACAGTTAGAAAAAAAAGTTGAATTTTTATATGACAGTTGGAAAAGAAATCCTATTTTTTTAGCAAAAAATAGGATTTCTTAACGAGTGATTTAAATTTGATAGATAAATTTAACATTGTTTGAGAAAGAAACTACCAGGGCATTTAGAGAGGCAAGCAAGCAATCAAATTTTTTCTTAATAAATTTTATTAATAAAAATAAAAGTGCAATAGCGTTTTTTTTAATTATCTAAAACAATTAATAATTTTTTTTTTAATATATGTTTTCGAAAGAAAGTTTGTTTGTTGCATTGCACACGCCTGGAATGAAACTATGTGACGGATTCAGAATAGACATATCCTATCCCCCTAGATCCGTCACTGCTCTTTTGAGCCCGTAAACGAAAACATGACAAATTGACGTCTATTGAGGTCTCAGACTTTATTGGGAAAGGAAAAATTTCATGCATCAACTTGTAACTGAAATTGAAAGGTGAAGACAAGCTTATGCTTCTCTTGTTTTGGATTCTTTGTCCATCGTTTAGATATGGATTTTGCTGTGATCACAGGGTAGACTAAAGAACTTTTTTAAATGTACCTAAATAATGCGGACAATTATAATCTGAATAAAAAACTGCATTACAAGACCTTTGTTCCCAATTCAGTTGAAACTAGTATTGGTGAATCCAAAATAACAAATCATCTCAATTTACTTCTGGTTATTTAATCAAAGAAACTTAAATCCAGTCTCAAACGTCATTGTTGTTCTAAGGATATTTTTCTCTGCTGCTGTTACAAATTGTAACGGAGAAAAGTCTTTTTTTAAACTTTAAAAAGGGTATTGAAAAAGAGGAAATTGCTCAAATTCTAATAGTAGACAACTTTCAGCGCTAGCATTTACTTGTTCGTTTTTGGACAATTCAGTAATTTTGAGGAATCTGGAGAGGCCACAACCGTTATTTTGTTGGGAGCCAGGATGACCTAAGGACGGGCCTGGCTTCAAAGTATGATTATCTTTTTTAAAAATAGGATATTAGGCAATATTATCTTTTCAAGTTATTCGATAAATTTAAACTTTAAACTTTGCTTTATAATTTGAAATATTTCAAAAAGTAATAGGTATTCACAAGTATAGTATTTAGATGATAGGATTTAATATATAGATAATATATTAGATAGATAATATATTAGATAGATAATATTTAGATAATAGGTATTAATATATATTAGATCATATAACGGAATCAAAAAAAGATTCAAATGGAATTATATTGTTCTTTTATTTAAATCTCAAACTTATTTTCAATGCATGTTTTAATAAAAACTCATAAAATCTAAAAAAATATAACAAAAGGTTTCAAAACAAATTATTGAAAACCTATTTTATTGAACTTTTTGTCATACTTTTTGATATTAAGTAGTATTGAATACAGTAAATAGCATTTTAACGTACAAAACTTTAAATTTTAAGAAGGTCTTCTAGTTCATTTTGATTTATTTTAACACTAAATTATGACATTTAAATTAAGACCAGAGGAGTTTTATGTACAGTGTTAATATTGAATATAAAAATTATTATTTTTAGTTAATGGGATGTGGAGCAATTGGGTAAATTCTGATTGTTCAAAATCATGTGGTGGTGGCATTATAGTATTTAACAGAAGTTGTAACAATCCACTTCCTTCATATAATGGTAAAAATTGCATGGGTATGAGCTATTACACTAAAGACTGTTCTAATGAAATCGTCTGCCCAGGTAAACTTTGAGTTTTTTTCTTCTCCCAATAGTCTTCATACACAAATACACACTCAAACTCCCCTTCCCCGCAAACACAGAAAAAGAATTCAAACCTTTATATCAATTTATTTTGATATAAAAGGTTTTATTCAAAAGCAGTAACGATTTCAAAATATCATTAAAGGAATTTTTTAAATGTAGCATCAAAAAAAGATAGTATGACTTGATGCAATTACAACAAAGTATCAAAGGCATTATGCGAGAGAGGGTAAGAGGAAAAAAAATCTACGCCTGCACATTTTATGTCTATAAGTGAGTATACTTTGAGCACTTCTTAACCATAACAGAACAGTAAATATGTCAACAATTCGAGCTCTCTATTCAATAGAAATATTAAAAATAATATAAATTAAATATTCATTGACCTTAGGGTACTCAGCCAAATTAGCTCTATTTTCACTTCTTGGTATACGGTTGAATATTGCAAACAGGAAAAACTTTATTAATTTTTTTTTTTTTAATTAATTAGCTTATTTACGACTTAAAATCTATCAATTGTAAGTTATGATAAAAATCATTGTTTGATTATCGCAAATGATTGCGTTTTTCTTCATAAACTTTATCTCCGGGTTCGTAAAATATGATACATAAACACGTTAATAATACGTATCTTTATCAGGTATGACAAATTACCTGGCAATACTGCCAGTGCCAGGCAATTTATATAGTTATAAAAAATTTAGACCTTCTTATTAAGAACCCCTCCATTTTAATCAGCAGGCAAGAAAAGCTTTTTTAATAAAAGTAATCAAGATTTTAAATCAAGTGGGGCATTTACAAATGAAAAACATTTATCAAATTAAAGTATAAATGTTTACCAAAATTAAATGTTTTACGTAGACAGATTGAATAATAAGAAATTATCGTAAACATGTACAAATTATCGTAAACATGTTCAAATCTTAAAACTGATTTCACAGATTTGTAAAGAATTATAAAAATATTGTTTAAATTTTAAAAGTTTAAATTGTAAAAATAAATTAAATAAAGTCATGTGCAAATAAACTTTGTTTAAAAAGCTGATTAGACCCGTAATACGGGGCATTATTGACTGTGTTATCAAAAAGTTTGTAAATGAAATAAGAAGACTCCTATAAAGAAATATATACTTATAGTTACTACAACATTTAAATTGTTTTATTTATTGGGAAGATTTTGCAAGTTTATAAAAATAGAATAAAAAATTTTGTGTTAGAGAATATCGCATTAATTTCTAGAGCACTTTTAAAAAAAACTCAAAATAAGAAATAAAACACACTTATTTAAAAGGCAATCTACACATTTTAGCAAAAGTATAATAACTAACAGTGTTAACAAACTTTGTAATGTGACCCGAAGATAAAGTTATGGTTACTTTAATTGCAACAACAACAACAACAACAACAACAACAACAACAACAAAAAACAACAAAAAACAACGAAAAACAACAAAATAAAACAACAACAAAAAATAACAACATAAAAACAAACAAACGGAATTTAATAAAAAATTGGTTTTATTATTTAATTTATTATACATGATTCTTCTAATTAAAAACATATAAAAAGTTAATTTAATAACTTTTAATTTGATTAATATTTAGTTTGGAGCATTTCAGACCTTTAAAACGTTTATTAATAAAAAATGAGATATATGAGAAATATTTACAAGGTTTAGTATACAGTTAGGAAAAATTAGTTTTTGAACATACATCAATAATCGTCGTTCTCATTAAAGTTAAACCATCCTTTAAGTTTAACTTGTAAAGATATCATTTTGAAAAAATTTTGAGTTTTTGTGCTATACCTATTTATAGCAACTTCTGAAATTACTGCAGAAATAAAAGATATACCTCATTTGGTATTTGTGATACCTCATTTGGTTTTTGTGATACCTTATTTGGTTTTTGTGATACCTCATTTGGTATTTGTGATACCTCATTTGGTATTTTTGAAAATCTTTTTAAATGATTTGAAGAGTATCATATATAACTATAGTTAAAGCCATTTGATGTAAACATCAACCAATAAAGCATGCAACAAATAAGCAACCTAGGCGCAGTGGTAGCGCACTTGCCTTACAAATAAAGGATCCGTGGTTCAAACCCCACCTCTAGACAAGTTTTGAAACATCGGTTACGAAGGAGGCGTTAAGTTCCAATTAAATGCTCATCCGCGGTGCTCTGTGATAAGAACGTAAGGACTTCTTGAGGTATCTGAATTGAAAAAAAAAAAAAAAAAAGAAACACACATGTCAACAGTGTATGCAACATATGCATTTCAATGAAATAGGTCGGAACACTCAAAATAACTAACTGTCACTGAATATTCCGCAGCTGAGTATTCTTTGCTACGGCCGAGCATTTAGCCAAATATTCGGTATTCTGCCAAATCACTATTCATAGAATCTTTAATTTAAATATCATATTGAAAAAATATTTTTTTGCAATTGGTACCCATGTATCATTTATGCTTTATAAATTAATTTTAATTAGCATAATATTAAGACATTCTTTTAATTGGTTTAATAGTTAATGGTAATTGGTCAGAATGGTCTTTTTGGTCTTTATGCAATCAACCATGTAATGGTGGTACAACAACTAGATCTCGCGATTGTTCTAATCCTACTCCACAGTATGGGGGCATGTTCTGTTATGGAAACAGTACTCAAGTAAATACCTGCCCTTGGAAAAGTTGCAAAAGTAAAAATAAATAATATTTTCATTAATATAAACATTTATGATAACAAATTGAGAAAAAAAAAGATTTTTTTTTTTCATCTATTTTAATTTTGTAGTTGTGGAGCTAAATTCAGTCATTTCTTTTGTTAATGAAGTTTACGTTCCTCATTATTCTGATTTGGCTTCAGATCCTTCTTTAGCCCTTAACAAGAAAATTCATAAGGCGGTATTATTTAATTGATTACATTTTATTAAAAAGGGTTTTTTGTAAATTTTTTACCTTAAAATTTATTCCACAAATATTTCATATATAAACTTATAAATTTTTTATTAAAATATAAATTTAGATTGCCAACATTTACAAAATGCTTAACAAGAATATATCGTTTAACATTGTGGTTCATTCTGTAAAGTAAGTAAAATTAAAGCATGTTGGTATTTATAATTAGGATAACTTATTCATGCATTTGATGTAATTTGTTTTGGTATATAATATTTGAGTTCAATTTATTAAAAAAAAAGTCATTCATTAAAAAATATTACTCTAAATACAGATTTGTTGAAAATTACGTCATTGTATCTTTACAAATACTTTATTTTGATGTTTCGAGTTTGGCTTAAAATGTAGGTCATCAAATTTTTTGAAAACTTTTATGTTTATAATAATTTGATAAAAAAACAAGCAAGTACAAGACAATCTGTTATCTTACTAAATGTAATAATAAGTTTTTTTATAAGATTTAGTATGTCCCACTCAAATTAGGGACAATTGTTCAATGTATTTCTTTCGGCCTCACCAAAGACAGATATGGCAAGCATTTTTAAATGTAATTTTAATACAGCTTTTAACAGATTGAGCATGAGAGACACTTCTTTAACTACTTAACTACATTTTAGAGGCATTTATGCAATTTCACTCAAGTCAAAGATTTCAAATAAACAGGTGACTTTCATAATGATAGCTGGAGTTTTTTAAATTCTTCAAATTAAAATACATCAATTCTAACTCCTCTCAATTCAACTATTTTATGAATCACTTCCTTTATTTCATCATTAATTAGACGGCGGAACATACTTTGTTACATGCTGATCTTTTGATATTGGGTAAAACAATGTCAATCACCTCCTGAGTATAATTTTTTAGTACACGCATCTGTTTAAGTAAGTTGATTGCTCATGACTTTTTTTTAATGTTACATACAATTTACTAAACTGTCATTCTCAACCTATTTAAAAGTTCATCTGTGTATCCATGTTTAGACTCCTAGATTCTGCAAAATCTTAAGGCAGTAGTTGGCCATCTGCAATAAAAAACAGAAACAATTTTTAGTTATGCTTGTCTCCTAGGCAGAACTTCAGTATTAAAAAATATCATGGCTGTCTCTTGGACACAATTACAGTTTCAAATTTTAGACAAAACACTTTCAAGCTCCAGTTATTAGTTTTAGCCGTCCCTTTTTAGCCGACCTTCAAGCCGACTTGAGATTATATAAAAGAAAGGAATTGTTAAATTTCTTAGGGTTAAAATCCTTAAACTCATAATATAACGAGTATATAAATTTTATACTAAAACGTGCAGAACTTTATTCTAAATATTTTTTATTCCATGACACTTTCTTGTAACTAAATTTAAAAAGTTATATTTGCAGAAAATTAAAAACAAATAGACTTTTCTTCCATTAAATGACAGATTTAATATCTATTTGGTTGTTTTCAGATAAATAATTGAATAAATATCATCAATATGTTAACAAAATAAACAGCAAATACATCATTATAAATGCAAACAAAAATTCCTTTTAGATAAAAACTCCCCATTTTAAAGAAAAGGATTGTAAGATTTCTTTACTTTCAAAGACGATAGAAAAAACAATATTCATAGATATGTTAATGTACAGCTATTCAATTTATGGGTAATTTATAATGTTTATTCAACATGTTGAATAAACATTATAATTTATAATGTTTATTCAACATGTTGAATAAACATTAAAAATTATAATGTTTATTCAACATGTTGAATAAACATTATAATTTATAATGTTTATTCAACATGTTGAATAAACATTATAATTTATAATGTTTATTATTTAATTAATGTTAATTATATAATTTATAATGTTTATTCAACATGTTGAATAAACATTATAAATTATAATGTTTAATCAACATGTTGAATAAGCATTATAAATTATAATGTTTATTCAACATGTTGAATAAACATTAAAAATTATGTTTATTCAACATGTTTAATAAACATTATAAATTATAATTTTTATTCAACATGTTGAATAAACATTATAATTTATAATGTTTATTCAACATGTGTTAGTAGAATTAAAGTAAAAACTCAGCAGAAACATTAAAATTTTTTAAAATTTTGTGAAATATGACAAAAAGAAAAGAGGACAAAAGTATGAAGCAGATGCAGTACGATTTATAGAAGAGACAAATCAACTAACTAATGTGCTAATCAAGCATCTATAAGCTATGAAAACTAAATTACCTTTATTTAAAAAACATTCTTTATTTATGTTATTAGGAGTTTCTATTTTCAGATGACTATAACCATGATCACATCACCAAAAAGTGCCAATTAAATAGATGTAGCGAATGGAATATTTAATACACTACAGGGAACAGAGCTTTAAATAAGACAGAACTTAGTAAAGGAAGATGAAACCAATGATATTACTAGACATTCATGCGGTTCCATAAAAAATTTTCAAGTTTTTCAAATAGTTCAAATTCAATGGGATATTTTCATTTTGCATCTAAATGAGCTATTTTCAAAAAATTTTGTTACGGACCTACTATAGGGCAAGAATAATTTTTCGTAGCCTTTAGATTACTGCTGAATACCAATGATTCCGAATAGGGTGCTGCTAAGTTTAGGCCAACTCCAAGTCCAAAACTTGTCATACAAGACAAAAAAAATCATTAATGTCTTATCAAATGAGCAATGCTATGCTTATCGCAACTGTTGGGGTGCAATTACAGGCAACATTGATAATTATTTGGCTTTTTTGAAAGTTAAACTTACAAACCATTCTCGTTGGCTAACATTAGCATACAGAACCTTGCGGTATAACGTATTAATTTCCAAACCCAGTAAAAAATCTTTTTGCTGTTTAGTTGGTTTGATATTAAGATTAAAAGTATTTAACTGAAGGTCTCAAAAATCTAAATATCTATTGTGTTTCAAAAAATTAATAAATTTCCTGATTCAAATTTCCTGAGAACATTTGTTATAAAGTTATAGACAACAACAGTTATTTTGCTCATGGTGAAAATATTCTTATTGGAAAGTTAGCCAAGAAGATGAAGAGGTCAGAAGGAAAGCGGTTAAGAAAATATTTCATTTAAAAGACTTCATAGAAGACTTTCAGAAAAAAGCAGAAGGTTTTGTAAGGTGAACGGTTAAAAGTGACAATGACAATGAACCCAGTTTTAGTGGAAATGATTATCTCTCAATAAAAAAAGATCTAAAAGTGTTTCTAAATCCTAAAATTTATCTGAAAGCTGCATGTTGTTATAAAATGACCATAGTTTCCTAATGGAACACAAATCAACAGGTTTCGAAACTGATTGGAGAAGATAAAATACTTTTATCGCAAAACTACCTAATTTTAAAAATAAATGTCAGAGGCAAAAAGTTGAAAAACTTGTAAAACTTGTTAACCACAGAAGCTTCAGCTTCTGTGGTTGGACACAATTGTAGAGATGTAGTTATTCGAAACAAAATTAGGTCCAGGAAATTAATTTAAAAGGTACTTTAAGTGTAATATTTTGTGAATTTTTTTGTGTTTTATGTGTAAATAACACTCTAATTGGATGGATTAAAAAATTGCGTCTTAAAAAATAATTTGATCATAGATGCAATATATCGAAAGTAACCGTTGTCATTTTTTTGTGAAATATTTCACTTTTTGTGAAATATTTCATTTTTTTGTGAAATATGTCACTATTTCAACTTAAAAAAATAAAAAATTTAAATTTTCGGCAATAACCTCATAAATATAGTTTTTAATAAAAGTATATTTAATAAATAATGTTTTAAAGTTTATTATGTGTTATTTGGTACCTAATTGACGCTTGTAGGTTAATTTATAATTTATTTATGATTAATTTTTCAATTTTAACCCATAAAACCCAAGTGGGTCGAGTAAAACCACTGACTGTTTTCTTCATAAATGTTTTTTAAATATCAAAAGTAGGGTGCAGTGATATATATTTTTTTAATTTATTTTGCCTGGGTGTGCAAAAGTTGTCTATTCATGTCAGAATTACTCTCTAAAAATTGCAATGCTCTAGGAAATTATCTTGAGGTGCCCCAAGGACTTTGAAATCCCCTAAAATCTCCGAAAAGTGACCTACGGAAAAAAATTTAGAAATTTTTGTTTTGTTTGATATTCATTTTGCCTGGGTGTGCAAAAGTTGTCTATTCACATCAGAAAGACTCTGAAAAATTACAATGCTCTATGAAATTATCTTGAGGTGCCCTAGGTCTTTGAAATTCCCCAAAATGTGACCTACCGACTACGAAGTACGGAGCATGGACTACCGAGGTAAATTAAGACTTTTTTTTTTTAATTTGTGTGTGTCTGGGCGATATAATAATATTATCATTATTTAGTGCTATATAATTAGCTGCTATAATGCTGCCATCAAGTGAGTGAATGTGCATGTATTATTATGTAAAATACAAACGGCGTCTGTAATGAACTAATAAAAAGATTGACTTCTTTATTTAGGCTTTATTTAACAATAATTGTACTAATCTAAAGATACAAGAAAATAGACACATATATAAAACAAATAGTTCAATAACAAAAAATAGAAAACACAACAATCTTCCTATCTTTGTAGAAAAAGGCCCATAAACTAGTTTTATCATTTTAAAGTATAGTCATCATATTTTACAGGAGCTTTACAAGCTCTGGCAGAACGTCGTAATACATCAGCAAATGGCTCAGTTACTGGCTCATCTACCCTAACTCTGATTTCCGATGCAATTTCAGGTGAGGGGTCTTTATTTACATCAATTACTTTCGCAGTTACATTCTCACTAGACTCATTGATACTATTCTCATTGATATCATTAAACTTTTCTTTTGGGGCAGGATACGGTGCAAGATCTTGAAGTGAAACAGTTGACTCTCGTCCATCAGGGCAACGAATATTAGCATATGTTAGATTCACATCCACTAATTCAACCTTATCCACGAGATTATCGTTTTTGTTTGTATGCACAAAGCGTCAAGGAAAAATTGGGCCAGGAGTTAACCATGAGGGTAACGAAGTTCCGGATGACGAGCGCCTAAGAAAACTGAATAACCTCTCATGGGGTGTACAATTAGTTGCAGTTGGAAGTAGTGAACGGAGTGAGTGGAGAGCGTCTGATAGAACAAT